CAATCTAGGGTTAAAAAATCAACCTGATTTATAAATTATATAAAACAATTTCTAGAGGACTTATATAACTTGAGATCTAGTATTAAAAAAATTAACCCAATTCATAAATTCTGTAAAACAATTTTTAGAGATGGCTAGATTTTTGTGCGATCATTTCTTTATATTGGCAATGTGAACAGATGCATTGCAACAGACACGTGCACACACTAGTATGGTAAAGACCGTGTGTTAGTACATGTATACATATGTGGTTAGAGATATATTTAGTTGTATGCAAACTCAAGATACAATAGGTTTAACCTAACTCCCTCTAAAAAACCTAGAATAAGTTATCTTGTACTCTAAATCTTTTATATACACTCGAGCCCAAGATCAATACAACCGACAACGTATCATTAGCAAAAGACTTTTCAGCGTATCCGATCCTTTCATTACCTGAGACAGGGTGCATTTCCCTGTGACCCAACGCTTTGCAATGGTCTGAGCAAGCCTAACTCCCAACTAAACTATGGACAGATCGATTTCCTCTATTTGAATATAGTATCATCGACCGAAAGCATCGAAAACTTTTCATGTTAATGATATGGTGTTATATATGGTAATGATTGAATACTCGTCAGTAGTGGCGGTAGCTACTGACTAGTACAAACATGACGTAGTGGGTAGCACTGAGCTAAGGGTACTATTCGCTTATGCTAAAATTTGGCTTATGTTGATGCTTATGCTGAAATGTTGTGAGAGAAAAATACTGTTCTATGGCTAAAAAGTAGCTCAAGCGAACAGGGCCAAGGTTGATAGGCAGGATGATCATAATTCTTGGGACGATCACATGCTCCAAAGGTGCACGCCCACCGAACCCTACCGACGCATACCCTCAAATACATGGGATATATCTTTATAAGCACATTTGAAAACTAGACTCGATTAATAGTGAGATTAATCAAGTTATTATAGACATCTCGTTATCAATGGGCAAGTCATCTGCTATTAAAAGAATAATGTTGTTAAATCTTGTAATAAACCCAAAAAATACGTGCAGTCACGCCTCAATTAAATCTAACCATCTGAGCTACGTGCTCAGTTCACAGCGACTAAATGATATTATAAATATAAACGTCATTTGCACTTTAGTCAAGCTTGCAGTTAACGGTGCAGAAAATAACAAGTCATTTCTCTGAGTACAATAAACTATTGTCATGACCTTAACAACTGATTAATCATTGCTGATAGTTCCACATATGTTCTGTCGGACACAAAATGTTCTATTTCGAAAAACATGGAGTTAAATAGTTCCACGACAGACGTGGACACTTCTTGTTTCTTCCTTTTCCTTTTTAAAAAATGCCTCAAGGTAAGGTGATGACATGAGGAGCTGTTCCACTGCTTACGCATGCATAGGATGGGATATGCATAGCATACGAAGAGCATGTTTACATGCCAACAAGGATGTCACAATAACTTTTGGAAAATCCATCTAACTCCAGCATGCGGAAATCCTCCTCCCTGTTTGGATTCGAGCTAAAATGTTGTATGCTGCAGCCTTTTTACACTACTAACCAAAGTACTACTCCCTCAATTAATGAAAGCATAAAACAAAGTTTTCTGGCTTTAAATAAATTCAAATAAAAAAGTCATCGGCTACAAAATTATTGATCTCTTTAGGTGCTACAACTTTGATAGCCAAATTGTCAGCCACCTTTAAAAATCCAGTTCTAGAGACGATGGAACTTCCGGTCACCTCTAGATTTCTAAGGTGATTCAAAAACGTGGCCACCTTTAGAAATGTCATTTTTAGAAGCGGTTGGGCTATATAGCCGCCTCTAAATATAGAGGGCATTTCTAAAGTTGGCTAGGATTTCCCAACCACCTACAAAATCAACTTCTAAAGGCGGGCTGACTCAAAAAAATCATTTTTAGAGGTGGTTCTTGATAGTGCGGCCTCCAAACTAAAGGGTAGGTGCCTATAAAAATAGTTTATGTGGTAATGCAAGTGCCTAGACGGAAACCTTGTGGGTTTCTACTTATTAGCAAGATTTGTGAAGGGTTACTTGAAAATGATGTGGGCATAATTAACCGTGACAAACAAGAATTCCACAACATGTGGGTACCTTTGCAGTTCGGATCCTCACATAATTAAATTGGTTTGGGGGGTATGATTAATACTTACATACTTTATGCTTTAATTTATGAAAGTAATTTGAGGTTTGGATTCTCTAATCACTATTAGTAATCAGGTTATTTACTTAAACTTGACAACTAAAATTGATTACCCAATAAATCAGTGCGAGTTTTTACCATGTTTATTCATCTTTACATATAACTTATTTTCTTACACTTGCGGAGTACGAGTACGACATGTGCTCACCCTTGTTATATCATGCTGCTCACAAGAACAAGCTTTGGAGGATTATCCAAAATTATTTTTTAGAGCACTAGGCATATGTGCTTCTGCTGTCGACCTTCCTATGGAGTTGATGGATGCCACCGTGATGTTTCTTTTGCTCAACAAATAAACATTTCCGATATGCTTTTGTTAAGAATTTGAATCTTTGTAACGAGTTTATTTGATACCATATAATGCATTGTTTCTAAGTTACCATTAATGAAGTCATTATATGTGTATGAATTTGATCCTGGCGCAAATATAATATGCATGTCGGCATCTGGTTCTAATTTTACAGTCAAGTGTGACAGCGGAGCTAAAAAAAACTAATTTATTGTAGCTTTACTGTCTTTCATTTTATTTTTAGAAGAGAGATAAAAATAACTCCTTACTATAATATATACGGCCCCTTAGAATGGAACTGTTTTGGAAAGATGTGGGGTCCAAACGAGGACTAATTAATATAAAGAAGTGGAACTCAAATATGTTTATTTAAAGAGTTACTTAAATCACAATATCCTTTCAAAAGTAAGCATATGGAATATAGTTTTTAAGACAAAATAAATTATAGAATATAAGTAACACTATTGAGAAATGTGTTAACAGAGACAACCAAAACGCATTTTTAAGGGAGGGGTGTCTGCCTGCCTCTATGTAAAAGTTTGTGTTAATCACAGATAACAGAAGTAATGCTAAATGTACATCTCTAAAAATCAATTAAAAAGGAAAAAAAAAGGGACAACCAAGCCTGCTACCAATACATTGGCCATAGTGGATCGCTCTTCCTCCTCACTGTGGACCACACGTCCGCGCTAAATCCTACTCGCCAGGATTTGTGAGAGCGAGAGAGGGTGAGGGAGATTTGGAGAAGCAAGGGCGGGAGAACTGGAGAAGAGACGGTGAGAGGCTCAAATCAGTGGTCGAGATCCCAATGCCTTTTCGTTCTCATTCTCGAAATGACCCTATTCGCTTGTCTTATAATCTGTACTGTTCGGCTTCTCTTTTCAGCCGGGACAGTGTTTTTCTCTCACAACAAATCAACCGGAACAGTGTTTCAGTTTGTTTTTTCAGCGAAGCGAACGGGCCAATATGTCGCCGCCTACTTAGCTAGTACCAATCGAGCCCCGCAGGCACCTCCTCACCCTAGCCCGCCACTGTCTCCACTCCGTGTGCTACGCTCATCTGACAGGCCTTCACCTCTACACGCCATGCTCGGTCGATGGGCCACATGCTGCCTTCTCGCGATGCCTCCTCGCATTGTGCACGCTTGGCCGATGGGTAGCCCTGGATTCAAAGAGTCAGGGAAGGATTGGTTCCTCGGTTAGCTTTGCTAGATGAGGCAAACCTTGCCAGGGGCAATTAGCCAAATTGGCTCACTTGAGTTAGTAAGGAGAATCCCGGAAAATACAGGCCCCAAGATAACCTAGGTAAGAATGCAAAAGGCATTGCAACTTTGATTTCTTCTAAGCACCAGCCAAAGATCCAAGCATGCCCTCGAATTTGCGAGGAGAGAGGGTAGATGGGAAAAAAATTAATATGGTGTTTGGTTTGAGGAACTGCTCCATCCTAGATGAAGTGGTGCATCGTGAGTTGATTTCTCAAATTTGATGGAATGGTTCTATTCCTCGTACTGGTATTAATTATTGACTTATGGGGAATAAGGTGATGATGCATCAACCTATTCCATTCCATAACCCAAAAAAATGTATAGAATGCCGAAATCTTTTCTTATTCCTATAATCTTTTGTGTGGAATTAAATGGGTTTCTACGAAATACATATATACTGTTCCCGTAAAAGTCCTAGGCTGCAAACGTGCCCAAAGTAGCCGAGCACGATTGAAAAATGTCACGTGACTTGCATAGTTACCGATGCATGTATACCCATAGTCATCAACACTGTCTGAAGTCCGAAGGAACGAAAAGAAAGAGCAACTGGACTACTGGAGTACTGTTAACTATGGAGTCATTGAGATTAGTTTATTTCTACTCAGGCCGCGTTTAGTTCAGCGCAGAATCGGCGCCGCCGGAATTCTCCGGCACTGTTTCGGCACTGTAGCATTTCCGTTTGTATTTGGTAATAATTGTCTAATTGTTGACTAATTAGGCTCAAAACGTTCGTCTCGCAAAGTACAACCAAACTGTGCAATTAGTTTTTGATTTCGTCAACATTTAGTACTCCATACATGTACCGTAAGTTTGATGTGACGGGGAATCTTCTTTTTGCATAGTGCCAAAATTTAAATTTTGAGTAACTAAACAAGGCCTCAGTTAGTTTATGAAACACTAACCGAGGTAGGAGCTATATGTCTTTGGGAACTGGATTCTAACAGAAGAGACAGGCAGAACAAACTTGATTAGCATCCATCACCCTGAGTGGGCCACTAACTATGCATTGCTGGGCCACCGAACAGTAGCCGGAGACCGTTGACGCGCTGACCAACGACTCGCCCACCCTTTTCACACGTATAACAACCGCGCACGCACTCGCACACAAGCCGTCACTCCCGTGGCCTCACTCCCATCTCTTCCCCGTCCTCTGCTCGGCAGCTCACCTCACCTCACCTCCTCACATCACAGCACAGCCGAGGAAGCTTCCAAGAAGAAGAAAAGAACAAAATGTCTGGGCCCACCACGTGCTGCCGCCGCTTTCCCCTGCTGCTCGTCTTGCTCCTCTTCCTCCTCGCCGGCGAGGGCCGCTCCCAGCCGGCCGCCGGCCCCAGCGACCGCGACACGCTGCTCGCCGTCAAGAAGGAGTGGGGCAGCCCCCCGCAGCTCAAGTCCTGGGACCCCGCCGCCGCCCCCAACCACTGCAACTGGACCGGCGTCAGGTGCGCCACGGGCGGCGGCGGGGTCGTCACCGAGCTTACCCTGTCCAGCCTGAAACTCACCGGCTCCGTCCCGGCATCGGTGTGCGCGCTCAAGAGTCTCACCCGCCTCGACCTCTCCTACAACAACCTCACCGGTGCCTTTCCCGGCGCCGCGCTGTACGCCTGCGCGGGGCTCAGCTTCCTCGACCTCTCCAGCAACCAGTTCTCGGGGCCGCTCCCGCGCGACATCGACCGCCTCTCGCCGGCGATGGAGCACCTCAACCTCTCCACCAACAGCTTCACCGGAGTGGTGCCGCCCGCGGTGGCGGGGTTCCCGGCGCTCAGGTCCCTGCTGCTCGACACCAACAACTTCACGGGCGCGTACCCCGCGGCCGAGATAAGCAGCCTCACCGGTCTCGAGACGCTCACGCTGGCCGACAACGCGTTCGCGCCGGCGCCCTTGCCTACGGAGTTCGCCAAGCTGACCAACCTCACCTATCTCTGGATGGACAGAATGAACCTCACCGGAGAGATCCCGGCGGCTTTCTCCAGCCTCACGGAGCTCACTACTCTGTCCTTAGTGTCGAACGAGCTCAACGGCTCGATCCCGGCATGGGTGTGGCAGCATCAGAAGCTCCAGTGCATCTACCTGTTCGACAATGGCCTCTCTGGCGAGCTGACGCGCAGCGTGACGGCGTTGAACTTGGTTCAGATTGATTTGTCGTCGAATCAGCTCACCGGAGAGATACCGGAAGACTTCGGCAATCTCAAGAACCTCACCCACCTGTTTCTATACAAAAACCAGCTCACCGGCACCATCCCGGCGAGCATCGCGCTGCTACCACAGGTCAGGGACATCCGGTTGTTCCAAAACCAGCTTTCCGGGGAGCTCCCGCCGAAGCTGGGCAAGCACTCGCCGCTGGGCAACCTTGAGGTGTCCGTCAACAACCTCTCTGGCCCGCTGCGAGAGTCGCTCTGCGCCAACGGGAAGCTCTACGACATTGTCGCCTTCAACAACAGCTTCTCAGGCGAGCTCCCCGCGGAACTCGGGGACTGCAGCACTTTAAACAACCTGATGCTCCACAACAACAACTTCTCCGGCGACTTCCCGGAGAAGATATGGTCGTTCCCGAAGTTGACCTGGGTGAAGATCCAGAACAACAGCTTCACCGGCACGCTGCCGGACCAGATATCCCCCAACATTTCACGGATTGAGATGGGCGACAACATGTTATCCGGCTCCTTCCCGGCCTCTGCACCAGGGCTCATGGTGCTCCATGCCGAGAACAACCGGCTGGGCGGCGAGCTGCCGTCTGACATGAGCAAGCTCGCCAACCTTACTGACTTGTACGTGCCCGGCAACCGGATCTCTGGCTCCATCCCAACATCGATCAAGCTGCTGCAGAAACTAAATTCACTCAACATGAGAGGCAACCGGCTGTCCGGCGCCATACCGCCGGGGAGCATCGGTCTTCTCCCAGCACTGACGATGCTTGACCTGTCCGACAATGAGCTCACCGGCAGCATCCCGTCAGACGTAAGCAACATGTTCAACTTGCTTAACCTGTCATCAAACCAGCTCACCTTGCTTAACCTGTCATCAAACCAGCTCACCGGCGAGGTGCCGGCGCAGCTGCAGATCGCGGCCTACGACCAGAGCTTCCTCGGCAACCGGCTCTGCGCCAGGGCGGACTCAGGCACGAACCTCCCGACGTGCCCAGGCGAAGGCCGGGGAAGCCACGACGAGCTTTCCAAGGGACTGATCATCCTCTTCGCGCTGCTCGCTGCCATTGTCCTCGTCGGCAGCGTCGGCATTGCGTGGCTGCTCTTCCGGCGCCGGAAGGAGAGCCACGAGGTGACGAACTGGAAGATGACGGCGTTCACCCAGCTCAACTTCTCCGAGTCGGACGTGCTCAACAACATCCGCGAGGAGAACGTGATCGGCAGCGGCGGGTCCGGGAAGGTGTACCGGATCTGTTATGAACGACGTATAGGAATATGAAGTAAAGAATCAAACCACAGAGGAGACACACGATTTAACGTGGAAAACCCCTCCGATGTGAAGGGGAAAAACCACGGGCACCAGCCAGCAACAATCTCACTATCTCAAGAGTTTTGGGTTACACGCCTATGACGACTTACAAGAGAATCAAGTCCCCACGAAACCCTAGCAAGGGTGTATATATCTTTATCTTGTCAGATTAGCGGGGGCTCCGCCCGCACCCCCAAACACAGGGGCGAGACCTGACGGGCCTCCGCTACGCTCCGGCCCAAGCCTCCGGCGACGGGCCTCCGCTTCGCTCCGTCAGAAGCCTGGCCTATATCCTGGAGTGAATTTGGAACAACTCCAACAAACTCCACCTTGAGACAAATTCATCTTGTATCATAAATCAACCCTTCATCCTGAACATACCAAAGATAGAAAACCACTGGTGCCAACAAATAGTCTCTTGGACTATCCAATTAAACCAACTAAGCTTGAGCACGACTCAAACTTAGCAACAGAACGAGCTTTGTCATCATATCGGCAGGATTATCATGAGTACTAATCTTGCATACCTTCACTTACCTTCTTCAATCACATCACGCACAAAATGATACTTGATATCTATGTGCTTAGTTCTCTCATGGAACATCCGATCTTTAGTGAGGTAAATTGCACTTTGGTCATCACAAAGTGCAAACTTATGCAAGATTCAACTCCACAAAGCTCAACGTACAAACCTTTCACCAAATTAATTCTTTTGCACGCTTCACAAATAGCCATATATTCTCTTGAGAGTAGACAAAGCAACAACCGATCGTAAAGTAGCCCTCCAACTCACAAAGACAACTTAGCCAACAAGACACATAACACTAAGTGATCTTCGCTTTGTCCGGATCAAGCAACATAATCGAGAATCCACATAGCCAATAAGACCCTTATCGGTTCTTCCAAACTTTAAACAGAATCTGCTTGCAGGCCTCGAGGTACCTGAAATCCACCGAATCGCCCTCCAATGTTCTTTGCCGAGGATTAGACATATATCTACTAACAAGACTCATAGCATATGACAAATCTGGGCGAGAGCAAACCATGGCATACATCAAAGACCCAACAAAGACTAGAATAAGGAACCCTTGACATGTATTCAATCTCTGCATCTGTACTAGGACACTGAGCAACTGACAACTTAAAGTGAGGTGCAATAGGGGTACTAACAGCCTTAGCATTTTGCATGTTGAAACGCTGAAGAACTTTCTTGATATAATTTTGTTGACTAAGAAATAGCAAACCAGATTTTCTGTCTCTACTAATTTCCATACCAAGAATTTTCTTAGCACTACCAAGGTCTTTCATATCAAACTCACTACTCAATAGCTTCTTTAACTTAGTGATTTCAATCTTACTCTTGGCAGCAATCAGCATATCATCAACATATAACAGCAAATATATAGGTGATCCATTAACATGCTTGATGTAAACACAGCTATCATACTTAGATCTTTTAAAACTGTGTGCTAACATAAATGAATCAAACCTTTTGTTCCACTGACGAGGGGACTGTTTCAAACCATACAAGGATCTCTTCAACTTGCACACATATTTTTCCTTGCCAGGCACTATGAACCCTTCTGGTTGGTCCATGTATATGTCCTCCTCAAGCTCTCCATGCAAAAACGCAGTCTTCACATCTAACTGCTCAAGCTCAAGATCATGTGAAGCAACAATACTAAGGAAAGTACGAATTGAACTGTGTTTTACCACCGAGAGAGAACACATCATTGTAGTCAACACCGGAATTTGATCAGAGCCTTTAGCAACTAACCTTGCCTTATACTTTGGAGGCTCGCTTGGAGATAAACCTCCTTTCTCTTGAAGATCCATTTGCAAATGATGGTCTTCTTATTCTTAGGCAAAGGTACAATCTCCCATGTAATCGTTCTTCTCAAGAGATCGCATCTCCTCATGCATAGCAGAAATCCAATTCTCGAGATCACCACAACGAATAGCTTCTTTATAGGTTGTTTGGCTCATGAACATTCTCCACCTGTTCAAAGACAACTCAAAGCATAGTAAGACAAATTACACTCTTCAATAAGACGCTTAGGAGGTGCAATTGTCCTTTTGACTTATGTTGAGCAATAGGTAAATCCTCCTCTAATCGCAAAATAGGAGGAGTTTGTTGAACATCATCATAAGCATCATCCTCAAAGAACATCATTATCATGGTCACCATGCTCATCAATAGGCTCCACCGCACACCAGTATCATCATCAACATGCTCCACCCGCATGCGCATATGCTTGCAGCTCCTTTTCTCGGAACATGATCTCGGGCAAACTGTCAAGAAACATCACAGATTCATTGAAAACAACACTCCTGCTCATAAAAGTCTTTCCTGTTTCAGGATTCCACAATTTATAGCCTTTGACTCCCGAACTATAACCAAGGAAAAGACACTTAACAGCTCTAGGCTCTAATTTTCCATTATCAACATGAGCATAAGCGATGCATCCAAAAACTTTCAACTGTGAATAATCAAGCAGTGCATGCACGGCACCATACCTCAATGGGAGTTCTTTTATTTAGTGGAATAAGGCGACACCTGTTTATCAAGTAACAGCGATATTAGCGACTTCACCCAAAAACGCTTGCTCATCCCGGCATTAGACAAAGATGCAACGGGCCTTGGACATGATGGTTCTGTTCATGCGTTCGCCACACCATTCTCATTGTGGAGTATGGGGTATGGTGTGATGCCTAACAATGCCTTCCGATTTGCAATAATCATTAAATTCACGCGAACAAAATTCTCCACCATTATCGATGACGAAGCAATTTTACCTTCCTTTCGGTTTGTCTTTCTATCATTACTTTCCGCCTTAAAAGCGAAGAAAAGTATCATCTTTCTGTTTGAAAAATAAGGCCAAACCCTTCTAGAGTAATCATCAATAATTGTAAGCATGTAACGAGCACCACCAAGTGAGGACTTACGGAAGGACCCCATAAATCAAAGATGAACATAATCAAGAGTACCTTTAGTGGTGTGAATGTAGTGTTGAAATGTACCCTTTTATGCTTCCCGAAAATACAATGCTCACAAAACTTTATTTTACTCGAAGTGCAGCCATCCAAAGAGGTTTCTCTTCATCAATTCGCCCATACCATGGTGACTCATATGTCCCAAACGCATATGCCAAAGGTTAGTTTTACTAGGTTCATCATTAGTAACAAAGAAACAAATGAATCGTAACCGGTAAAGTACACCCTCTAAGGACATATAACTTTGCGAAATTAAGATCACCTTTCAAGCAAACAAGAGAACCTTTTGATACCTTGAGCGCCATCTCGAACCGGAATATTTGTAACCTTACGCATCAAGCGTGCTCAATGAGATAAGATTTACGGACATCCCCGGTATATACGACATTTTTCAACGTCGTGTGTCATGCCATCATCGGTCTTGATCTGAACTCGATCCAATCCCCACAATGTCACACGGGTTATCATCTCCCATCCGCACAACATCCCCTTTACTCGCACGAAGCTTATACGAGCTAAACCAATTTCGTTAGTGCAAATATGAAATGAACATGCGGAATCGAGAATCCATTCATCATGACCAACAACACAACCAAAGAAATACTACCGACAATCTCCGAATCATCATCGACGCAATAACAGCAACAATGAGAGACCTTACCAAACCGACTTGTTTTTCCTCTTCTCCTTATTCTCAGCTTTTTTCGCAATCCTCAATATTATGATTTGTCGACTTGCAATAAACACGAACTTTTTATTACCATGCGGCTTGGACTTTGAACGGCCTCTCCTTTCGTAGTTCTTTCTTCCATCATTGCCATCATTGGAGGATCTGTTTTCAGTTCTGCCTCTCACATGCAAAGCATCGCCCTTGGAGGACGACGTCCCGTCATTCTGCACCATGCCTCTCATCTTCTCCCTAGACTGGAGAGCCTCATAAACTTCCTTTAGGGTTAGTTCATCACGGCTCAAAAGTATGGTGTCACGAAAATTTGCATACTGAATTTGGCAAAGAACATAGCGATAAAAAAGACCTAAGTCCTCATCATCATACTTCACCTCCATCGACACTAGGTCGGCGACGATCTTCTTGAATTCAGCGATGTGGCTCATCACTAATCCTCCTCCTTCATCTTCCAGGGTGAACAGCTTCATCTTCATCTGCATCTTACTGGTTAGATCCTTGGACATACTGAGATCGATTCCGGTTTGACCATAGTTCTGCAGCAGATTTTCTCTTTCGAGACACTCCTGCAAAATATCATTATGAAGATGCAACTGAATTAGGGCAAGCGCCTTCTGATTCTTGCGGATCTCTTCTGGAGTCCACTCGGCCTTCCTCTTTCCGAAACTATCCAGCGCCTCATCATAGTCATGAGTCTGCGCCAGAATCCCCCGCATCTTGACTTGCCATAGCGAGAACCGCGTGTCGTGAGTTCAAAGCGGCGGAAGATCGAACTTCATCGACGTCGTCATGAACCCTAACAAAGAAACCAAAGCTCGGTACCACTTGTTATGAACGACGATAGGAATATGAAGTAAAGAATCAAACCACGAGAGGAGACACACGATTTAACGTGGAAAACCCTCCGATGTGAAGGGGAAAACCACGGGCACCAAACCGGCAACAATCTCACTATCTCAAGAGTTTTGGGTTACACGCCTATGGCGGCTTACAAGAGAATCAAGTCCCCACGAAACCCTAGCAAGGGTGTATATATCTTTATCAGACCATATTATGGGGCTCCGCCCCGCACCCCCCAACACAGGGGCGAGACTCGACGGGCCTCCGCTACGCTCCGCCCAAGCCTCCGGCGACGGGCCTCCGCTTCGCTCCGTCGAAGCTTCGGCCTATATCCTGGAGTGAATTTGGAACAACTCCAACAGGATCCACCTCGGCAACGGCAACGGCAGCCACGACGAGGAGCGCGGCATCGGCGGCAGCGACGGCAGGATGGTCGCCGTGAAGAGGATATGGAACTCGAGGAAGGTGGACGAGAAGCTGGACAAGGAGTTCGAGTCGGAGGTGAAGGTGCTGGGCAACATCCGGCACAACAACATCGTGAAGCTGCTGTGCTGCATCTCCAGCCAGGAAGCCAAGCTGCTGGTGTACGAGTACATGGAGAACGGCAGCCTGGACCGGTGGCTGCACCACCGAGACCGGGAGGGCGCCCCCGCGCCGCTGGACTGGCCGACCCGGCTCGCCATCGCCGTCGATGCGGCCAAGGGGCTCAGCTACATGCACCACGACTGCGCTCCCCCGATCGTGCACCGCGACGTCAAGTCCAGCAACATCCTGCTGGACCCGGACTTCCAGGCCAAGATCGCCGACTTCGGGCTCGCCCGGATCCTCGTCAAGTCCGGCGAGCCCCAGTCCGTGTCAGCCATCGGCGGGACATTCGGGTATATGGCTCCAGGTTAGAAGCTCAGGGATTTCAGTTGCCATCCATTTCAATTTCAATTTTCAATCTGTGAGAATTTACAGCTGCAGTGCTGAATTGCTGATTGACGTGTGGCAATGGCATCTCTGCAGAGTATGGGTACAGGCCAAAGGTGAACGAGAAGGTGGACGTCTACAGCTTCGGCGTTGTTCTGCTAGAGCTTACAACCGGCAAGGTCGCTAACGACAGCGGCGCGGACCTCTGCCTGGCGGAATGGGCATGGCGGCGGTACCAGAAAGGCGCGCCGTTCGACGACATCGTCGACGAGGCCATCCGGGAGCCGGCCTACATGCAGGATATCCTGTCGGTGTTCACGCTCGGCGTCATCTGCACGGGGGAGAACCCGCTGACGCGGCCGTCGATGAAAGAGGTCATGCACCAGCTCATCCGGTGCGAACAGATCGCCGCTAAGGCGGAGGCGTGCCAGGTGAGCTACGAGGGCAGTGGCGGTGGCGGCGGCACCCCGCTCCTCGAGTCGAGGAAGAAAGGCAGCCGGCGACGGAGCATGTCTGATTCCGGCCGATGGAACGACGACGAGGAGGAGGACAGCGGCAACTTCGTTGTGCACGTGGTGTAGTCGGACTACTGCAAGCTCATCCATGGAGGAATTTCGCAGAGGCGCCGCCCTCTGCCGAGCAGGCAGCTGAAGAAGGCCTATCCCGCATGGGCGCAAGAACAAACAACGAAGTGCAGTATAGAAAATGTAATAACGCCAATACTGCTTGTAATAACACCATGTATCACTGTTTGACCGGCAGTAAAGCCAATTTTAGCATGAACATTGCAGATACAGGATGTGGAGTTGCTTTTCGGTTGTCTGAAACTTTTGGGCACTTTTGGAGTTTCAGAAAACTGGAGACCACATGCTGAAATAAAGCTGTACAGACATACTACCTCCGTTTGGGTTTACTTGTCAGCAATTTTTTTACTGTAGCAAATTTGACCATCTGTTTTTTCTTCTAAAAAAATCTTAGATACTTCAATGTATATAACACTAATGAAGTATGTTTAATAAAGAATCATATATGTGAAAACTTGATGTATCTAAAAAATCTTTTGCAGAAAAAAACGTATGGTTAAATTTACTACAGTAAAAAATTGCTGACAAGTAAACGAAAACGGAGGTAAGTACTAGGAAGCCAATTTGCCTTGCGATATGTGAGGACTGTGATGTGACGCACCTTTTTCAAAGTGGGGAAGGCCGTGATGCTGGTGCACAAAGAACAAATCTGTGGGGCGGCTTGAACTTGGAAAAAAAACTGAACATGGGACAATAAACAAAGGGCATGAGTTGGGAAATGCATGACGACATTCGGTGAATGGGAGTATGTCGGCAGATTTATCTGCATCTATAAATATCAGGTTCCATCAAGTCATCAAGTTGCCAAACATTCTTAGAAAAGGTGGCTCGGATGCGATATAGAATTCTGCGCAACCATATGTACTCGTGTTGGCACCAAATATGTCCATAGTGCTAAAATTGAATGTAGTACCGAAAGAAGAGTTTCAGCTGATATGTTAAGTTCAGCATTACATTGTGTCAATAGCAGGAATAAACTTATTTTTTCTGAACAGGCAATTGTTTTAATGCAGTAATATACTCATATTGCCTAGACCTTGAAGGATTTAACAAGGTTTTATAACCATGCTACTTTTCGGCACTGTAATTTTTGAAAGGGTTGTAGTGTAGTGGTTATAAAGCCTAAATAGCACCTCCGGGTTCTAAGTGTGGCCTCTTATGGGAGCGAATTTAGGCTGTTTAGAGCATCTCCACGAGAATCTATACTTTAAGTAATCGTTAGGAATAGAGATTTTAGTGAAAAAATATCCTTCAAAAGCTTATTTAATTGATTATTATCTAAGTATAGCCACTGTTGTGGAGGATTGAGAGGGGAGCGACAGCGGCTGACGTGCTACAGTACCCGTGGCGCTACTGTACCCACGGGTACTGTTCACGGCTACGGTGGCTAGGGCTGCAAGGGCGTTGGGGGAGGCCAGCCCCGGGGCTTCGCCCACGGCCGGCAAGAGAGAAGGGATTTCCTTCTAATCTCCTGCTTGATTCTAGATTGATACATCTCCTCTCATTATATAGAGAGGTCTGACTTGGCCCCTAAGCAAGCGACTAATTAACCCTAATAGGCTAAGGCCCAATAGGCCCTTGACTCCTCTAACACTACACCCCACCTGGACATGCAGCTCGTCCTCGAGCTGCAATCTAACGATGACATTAACGATGCCTCCACTAGACACAAATCTAACACCTAAAAATAAGCCTTTTACATCTCGGCTTATTTTATTGACCTGAAGAAGACTACGACTCTTTATTTTTGACTCCTGAAGATACGGCGGGCACCCTCCGCTTGCTGGACCAGCACATGTGTAGCCACCAGGATCCCATGGAGACCATCGGAACGAGAGGGGTGCACGGGTATGGCCACCTAGAATTAGTGGCAACAGCAACCAGCGGAGACGTGCTCGTGGCGGACAGTGGCGGAATGCGATGGCGCTAGGCAATGCGTCCCCGCCGGTGACAAGGAGGAAAGCTGCTCCCATATCGCCGGTGCCGCAGAGTTGGAGTTCGCCGCCCACGGAAAAAACACCATGCTTGTGCCTGAAGACAACAGCAGGTCGGCACGGTTGCTGGTGGTCATCCGACCAGGCGAGGTCGACCGACCAGGCTAGGTTACGCTCCCCTATGCTGAGGTCAACCGCCACCAAGGAAGCCTCGTGCATAGGTGAGCGCATCTTCTACAGCCGCCGGCGCGCTAGGAGGCCACGCGCCGCAGCCTGCAGCCGCACCGCTGCAAACACCTTGCAGGCACTTGCCCGCGCAATCGCCTTCCTCTTCATGAGCTGCAAGGCTGCTGCTGTAGGGACGACTGGCCGCCGCCACTTGAAGATGGGGTGTTGTCGTCCCTGCGGGCGCGCTAGGAGGCAATACGCCACCGCCTGCAGCTGCGCCGCCGATGCCTAGATGTCATCCACGCCCCCGTAGAAGACGCCATCGCTGTCCTGCTATGGCGGCACAGGGCTGGGGGTGGTGAACGACGGGATCAATGAAGGAGAGGTGGAAAGCAGCGCGGGACTGCTGCTCTCCTCGGCGGTCAAGAGTCCGCTGGACGGCGGCGGCGGCAGTTGCTGCTGCGTGGGCGGTGGGTTCGGCTGCGGTCCTTGCGGTCCCAAAAGAAATGCATGAATCCCGGCCACCATCTTGCCGAGGTCGAGCACCGCGGCCGTCAATTCTGTGTTCGACATGACGCCCATGGCGGAGGGAGACGCCCCTGCGGCCATCGGCAACGAGGTCTCAGGGACGAGCGGCAGGGTTCCCGTGGGCAGAACCGGCTGGGACGTCTGTGGGACAAGCAGCTGCGCGGAGACGTTGGTGGCCGGCGGCGGAGTGGTGGAGGTGGGCAGCGAGGTCGACATCGGAACCGAGATCTCTGATACCAGATTGTTATATGGGTGGAGGATTGAGAGGGGAGGCGGTGGTGGTGGCGCTTCTGATGCCAGACTAAGCGTCTGATGCAAGTGGGTGGGTTGTGCTCACGTCTCATGATGGCTAGGGCTGCAAGGGCGCTGGGGGAGGCCGGCAGCGGGGCTTCGCCCACGGCCGGCAAGAGAGAAGGGATTTCCTTCTAATCTCTTGCTTGATTCTAGATTGATACATCTCCTCTCATTATATAGAGATGTCTGACTTGGCCCCTAAGCAAGCGACTAATTAACCCTAATGGGCTAAGGTCCAATAGGCCCTTGACTCCTCTAACAACCACCCTGTATTTAGCTCACTAGCCAAATATAGAAAGCGAGAATGATTCTTTAGAGTAGGCACAAGATATATAAAATTTGTTGGAGAGTTAAAAAAAATAGAAACGATTTTTATGCAAATAGTTCTCAAAATGATGATATAGCGGTTTAGAAAGTCTCTTGAAGATGCTCTTAAAAAGCATTCAAGGATTTTCTTGACAAAAAGGTTGGGTTCTTCTAACTTGAAAAAAGCAATAATCTAGAGGAGGTTTTTTCCTGACTAGCTGAGTATTTTTTTTAACATAGGTTTGTCGAGAGTTGATCTATCTTTTCTCGAATACGTAGGAGAGCTACGTATCATTGTATTAATAGAAGAAGAGTCGAGAGTTGATCTATCATAAGTTCATTTGATGAATTCTGGTAAGTTGACTCCATTCCATATGTTTATGTTAATTATTGGCATAATAGTGAGCTAACACGTTATATTCAAGAAAAAAAAGAATACGAAGATGATGGACCACCCTATCCTCAAACCGAACAACTCTTTACTGCATGTGCACAACATAGAATTGTTTTAGAATAGAAAGGAGCATCCTGAAATTAAAGCAGATCCATCCTACAAAACGTATGTGTCACTGAATTTTAGATGTCAATAGGATTTATATATCTAGAATTGGAGGTAGATTCCCTGATGTTAGATTGAAAAACCAGAAATAAAAGGTTCTCAGAGAATGTAGAACACAGACAAGAAACAAATGGACACATCAAGCACTTTCCCAGTAGAAAAACGTTGATAGCAGCAAGCGACAGAAGAAGTGGCGTTTGAATGACACTAGGATAGGGATAAGGAAAGGGATATCTCACCCTTCCAAAGGGTAATATTGTATCCTAGTCGTTCATCCATTTCCCTTTCCCTATCCCACTCTCTGTATCTCTATATCCAAACGCCACCTGCAGACAGAAGCTGATAAGAGCCACATTCCCCAGCGAACAACTTTAGACAATGCTGGTCACCTTGGACCCCACAATCTTGCATTCCATTTCACATGATTGTCAATTTGTGTCGTTTTTTTCATCATTGCACCACCTTTTTGTTTCTGCAAGATTGCCCACAATTCCGATCCAGTGATATTAAAAGGAAATAGGTAAAACAAGAACTTTCTTTGAAACAAGCAGCATTTTAGGATTTCCGTGTAGCCTAACAAAATGCCGCACAACCAGCAACACTAAGTTCATTTCCCCTTTTTCTATAAGTAAAAGAACAAATTTCTTGGAGTTGTCCGATTGGCAATAGAGGGCTTGTTTGGTTCAAAGGCACATTATTTAACAAGCACCAATACTTGCACATAGTAACACAGTGTGTCCACTGTGTGACTGGCCATAAGCCACTTTTAAACATGAACTGATAACCTGCAGATGCGGATGAAATCAGCCCCAACTGATTCCAGAACAGGAAGCACGAGCCGACGTAACTAAGACTGAAACCGCACCGAGGGCTGGAGGATCCTCCTCATCTGGCCCTAAAGCTCCCTGCCCAAGGAGAAGAAGAAGAACAAGATCCATCATGGCCATAGCTGGATATGATGCCTTCACCAATGAATCAGCCAAAATCTCCAAAGGGGCAGCCGGAGCTATGGCAAGAGACGCAGAGGCGGCGAGGGACATATATATAGATGAAATTGGTAGGGGTGGGAGGGAAGAGGAATAAACAGACTCACCTTGCTAAATCTGAAAAACAAGGCGACGATGGGAAGGCAGAGGTGGCGGCTCACCGAATTATTCTGCCTCGATATGGCGCCCCTCTGGGCCAACACACAGGCACTCAGAGTACTA